GGGCCCACTCAGAGCACCTTTGATCTCCTGCTGACCCCCGCCCAGAGCACTGACCTTCCTGCTACCGAGTGTGACCTGTCTGTCCATTAGTGCCCCCTCCCTTCTTCCTGCTCACAGAGCCCTCGTCAGTGTTCCCTGAGATGCATGCTCCCCTAGGACGAGGCCTCATCCCTGCTTTCCTGGGTCCCAGCACAGGGGGCCTTGGCAGAGCCTGCAGGATGGGCCTGGTACTGGCCCCCCTGCCTGGAGTGAGGAGTCCTCCTGGGCTCAGCCTGGGGGCTGGTGTTCCCAAGGCTGGCGCCTGCTCCCTCTGGCCTCGGACTGACCCAGCATTGCCTCGGCTCCCGTGTGCTCCCTTTCCCTCCCCTGGGCCCTGGGCCCTGGGCCCTCTCCCTTGGCCCCTCCTTGGTCTATGAGCCAAGAGTCAAAGGTCACAGCAGTTGCATCCTCTGGAATGGGAAGGGGGGGCGGAGCATTGCTGAAAGTGAAAGTATGGGGTCTGGGTGGAAGGTGGGGCTGGGGGTGGGGCCGGTGGGCCCAGGGCGGGTGCTGACCACAGTTGGGAAGTCCCAGCTGTTGGTCACTCACTCAGCTTCTCTGGAGGGCTGGAGGCCTGGTCCAGCTCTAAGGGCCCCCTCTTGGCCATCTTCTCCAGGTGGCCCCGTTCTGCTTGGGACACAGAGTCTGCCCAACGCAGCAGGTATGTTCCAGGCAGGTGGGTCTAGAGGGCCACAAGGGTGCTGTGGGCAGTGGGTGGAGCTTGAGGGACTGACGACAACTCTAGTTCTGCCAGTGGCCTTCCAGGCCAAGGGCCCTGGCTTGGAGCCCACCTGACCAGGCCAGAGGGCCAGCTTCAGTCACACACAAAGACACACACGTGTAGAATGCACAGGTAGACACAAAAGGCCCAAAGACAGGCATGCAGGCACAGACGGCCACACAGACACACAGGAACTCACAGAGAGAACCACTAGCAGGCACTCAGAGGCCCTCATGTACAGAGGGGACCCTCAAGCCGACATCCAGGTGTGCAAAGCAGACACACACAGAGTGGACACACACACAGCGTGGACACACAGACATGCGCTCACATTAACACCTGGCCGGGTGGCAGGTCAGGCCCACCCCGACCCTGAGGGGGCCCTGTACCTGTCCCTCAGTCCTGGAAGCAGGGTGTGTGACTGTGGGTCTGAGGCTCAGGTAGTCAGGGAAGGCTTCTAGGAGGAGAAGTCACTTCTGCTGAGCCTTGAAGGAGGTGACAGCTGGAGAAGATGGGCAGAGGTCATGGTAGGTGCAAAGGTGTGGAGAGGAGGGGTGTGAGTGTGTGGGTGGTGAATGGGAGACAAAGCCAGACATCGGACAGGAAGGGCCTCAAATACCAAGGTAAGGAGTCAGGTTTCTGCTGAAGATGCTAGCAGCTGGGAGGGTGATATGTTTTGTTTTGTTTTTTAATTTTTATCTTGTAGTTGAAGAGATACACAGCCAAGCAGACACCACCCCAACTTTTCTACATGTAAATTCAGTGACACCGATTACATTCTTTGAGTCGTGTCACCATTCACATTTGGAGGGTGGCATGTTTCGTTGCTATTCTGGAAGGGAGACTTCTACAGGCCTTTTTCTAATAGGCTTTGCTGAAGTCTAGGAAGCAAGTGAGTGATCCTCACATCACCAACACACAAAACTTACTAAACTCTTACCTGCTCCAACAATCCTTAGCCTCAGATTTTCTAAGCAGTCACATCCACGAATAATGGTATTATCTATCCCTTCCCAACATTCCTACCTCTTATTTATATTTTTTCTTGTTTTATTGCTTTAACTAGCTCTTCTAGGTAAATGCTGAATACTAGAGGTGGGAACGCCCATCCCTGTTGTGTTACAAGACTTATAACTTTCACAGGAGTTGCAAGGGAAGTTTCTGCTCTGGCAAGAACCCCTGACCACTGTGAGATGGGGTCGTGGGGTCCAAGAAAGAGAGCAGTGAGGGGGCTATGGCTGGAATCAGGTGATAGTGGAGGGCAGGCGGTGGGCCAGAGGGGACACAGGCCTTCCCAGGGGTGTGCCCAGGGTCCAGGCAGTGCCCTGCCCATGGGGGGTAGTTTTGCACTTTGAAGGATGGGGCGACAGTCTGGCCCAGGGCAAGTGGGGAGGTGGGGGTAGAGTGGACCCTGGAGGGGCTGCTGCAAGAGGGAAAGGCTGGGAAGAGGGGGTGGCAGATGAGGCTGGGGGCTGGGTGGAGAAGGGGGGCACCCTGGACAGCCTTGTTTTGTTGTCCCAGCCTCCACTTGCTACCTCCTTGAGGCTTGACTTCTTGGCTACAGCTGGGGTGGCCCAGGGTGGGAGCTCCCAATGACTGTGGCTTTTGGGTAGTGTCTTCAGCTCTGGCTGTAACCCAGCTGGGCCTGGGTATCCAGGGCCAATTCCGAGCCCAGGACTTGTGGGACGTTCAAGGTAACGAGAACAAAGAGAGGCAGCCAGCCAGAGAGAGGGTCCGTGGATGTGCCGAGAGGCACCTGGCCAGGCAAGCCCAGGGAGGGGTACTCACACTGGATGGCTCCCCCATCTTCCAGGCTGTGTTCTGGGGGTCAAATCACCAGGGTCCTGAGTGCCACTGAGCAAACAGATGGTGAGGGCAGGGGGTGCACAGTCCGAGGGCTCCCTGGAGGTTGGGGCACTTGTACCCCTGGGTCCTGATGCCCAGGTCAGATATGGGGAGCAAAGAAAGCAGGCTGGGAGGGGGTGGCCTGAGGGGAAGGCAGGAGGACAGAGGGGGCCCTTGAGCTTTGCTGTAGGTGCACATCACGGGGCCCAGGGGCAGGTGAAGAAACTGCGTCAAGGAAGGGAGCTTCCGGTGCTTGGCCTCGGGACGGTGGCAGCCATGGGAGGGCTTGAAGCAGGAGTGGCCCGTCCGGACTTGTGCTCTGCAAAGGCCAAGGTTGGCTGGGGAGGCCGCTGGGATCAGGATCAAGGGTGGTGTGGCCAGAGTCTAAAGGGCTGTCAGGGTCAGGTGGCCCTTTCGTGCTGCTCTGAGGACAGGGTGGTTGAGCAGTCTGGGGGCCCAAGCCTAAGCCCATGTAACCTTCCATAGGACCCCCACACCTGATGTCCCCCTTTACCCAGGACTCGGTCTCTGGGCTTCCTGGAAGAGGCCTTCATACCCCACTGGCCACACTCCTGGCATCTGGGAGCCGCCTCCCTAGGGCCCCTGTCAGGAGAAGGGGTTATTTGGGTAGCAAGCCTGGCTGCCTGGTGCTCAAGGAGACACAGGCCAGTCTCGGCTCCCAGGTTTCTTTCCAGACAGACCTGGAGTCATCCAGGCACCCTGTCTCTGAGCTGTGTGGCCTGAGGCAAGGTCCTGCCTTTCTCAGCCTCAGTTGTCCTCATCTATGAAATGGTTGCATGACAGTCTTGTAACTATGCTGTCATAGGGATCTGGTCTGTGCCAGGCGTAGGGCTGGGCATGCAGTTGGTGCTTACTAAGTGTCCTCACAACCAAAGCGAGGCCCAGCTGTCCTTTCTCTATGTTGTTGCCCCCACTCTGCCCGGAGGAGGGGACGGGGAGGACCAGCCCTGTCTGGAAGGGTCCTCTTCATCACCACTCCCACCCCTGTGGGTGTAGTCCTTGTGCCAGGTGCTGAGAGGGGCACCAGGAGAGAGGAGAGGGGGCTGTGTGGATGGTTCCAGGGACCATGTCTGAGTTGGGGCAGGGTCCCCACGGTGCTGGCACCAGAGCGGCGACCTGTGGTCAGGGCGGGGCCGATAAGGAGCCATGGATCACCTGGGCTGCCCTCCCCTGGCAGGGCCTCCTTCCAGCTGCTCAGCTGCCTGAGAGCCTCGAGGAAGGTAGGTCTATGAGGACACGGACAGGCCCTGCCAGAGGGTGTGGAGGAAGGTGAGGGTCTCAGACTGCCCATCAGTGCCACTCCACTCCAGGGAAGCTGAGGCCTTGAGGGTAGTCCCTGTCAAATGTCAGCAGGGTCAGGTGCTGGCTCCAGCCTGAGTTTTGCCCTGGTATCTGGTGTTGGGCGTGGGTGGGTGTGGAGAGGAGCTCTGGAGTGGGCTGGGGACTTCAGTAGGTCCAGCCCCTCTCTGGGCTTCAGTTTCTCCAAGGGTAAAATGGGACCTTGCTGGCCTACTCCACTCCCCCCCAGCCCCCATGACCCGTTTGCACAGTGGGGAGGGCTGGGAGCAGGTCAGGAAGGTTCACACCCTCAGCTTAACCAGAAGCCAGGAGAGCAAACACCGCCAGCTGTTCTCCCCCTGGAGAGGCTGTGGGTGGAGCCAAGGGGCGGTGTCTGGAGGGGCAGGAGCAGACCCCCCCCCCCCCCCCGCTCAGCACCCTGTAGGGGTGGGCCCAGTGGGAAGCAGTTGGGGTTAAATATAGACCACGGTCCCTCCCACTGCCTCCCCTGTGCACTCTCGATAAGCCACAGGGTGGCCTCAGCCGGCAGCCTGCGTCTGCCTTTGGCTCTGCAGGCTCCTGGGAAGGGGGTAGATGCCTCCCTGAGCACCTCTGAACAGAGGCAGTTGGGCCTGTTCAGTTGAGTGGGGGTGAGCTGGGGCTCCGGAGGGCAGCAGAGGAACCTGGGAGGGGTGGATATTCAAACCTCAGGACCTAACAGTCCTGCAGGCCCTGGATACATTGCCGGCAGGGTTCCAGCTGCTCCCCAGAACCTGCTTGCTTAACTCCCTACTCGGGTTCTGACAGGAGGGTTCTGCAGGCCGAGTGAAGTGTGGGTGCTGGGGTGAGGGCTCTGTGTGGGTGTAGCAAGGTGTCCAGGAAGGCATCCATGGAAGTGGCTGGCAAGGTCTCAGTGCCCAGCTGAGGCCTGGCACAAAAAACGTGACCTGTGGGTCATGGTCCCCAGCAGGCTTCTCTGCCCCTGCCCCTGAGCCTGGCCAGACCTCCCAGGGTTCTCCTTCCGGGCTTTCTGTCTGTTCCCCTTCCCCCACCAGGTCTCCTGAGCCTTCTCACCCCCAGCTCTCCTGCTGCCAAGATGCCATCTCCACGGCCTGTGACCCCTGGGCCGGAGCTGCGCTGCCCGAGGGAGCCGGCCGAGCAGCAGAACTTAGTGCGGGGCGCCCGGCGGGTGAGCAGTGGGGACGCGCCCAGAGACAAAGATGAGGATGCTGAACGGCCTGGCCTGGCCACCTTGTGGCGGTCCTTCACCCGGGCCAGCCAACGGGCCCAGGCCCCTGAGAACCCAGGCCTGGTCCGGCGCAGCTCCCGCTTCCTGTTGCGGTCCTTCCGGCGCACCCTGGAAGGGGGCGTGGCTGCTGACACATCTCCGAGCCCCGCTGTTCCAGGGGTGGCCCAGGACCCCAAGGTGCCCTCCAGGGGCATGGATGGTGTCAGCCGGCAGGCATCCACAGGGGCGGGGCCAGAGGAACTGGAAACTGAGGCAGGTGAGGGTCTCACGAGCAACATGGGGGGGTAAACCGAGGCTAGAAGGTGAAGCATTACCCACTCCAGGGAGATGACCCGGCTGTTTGCTCTTCCCAGCTTCCGAGCAGCCTCCCTTTCCCAGACCCCATTCCCATCCTGAGTGCATGGCACAGTTGCTGTTTAAATTCTTGTAACTTCTCAGGGAGGGGCGCACCCATCGGACATACTAGAAAAGTTACTTCAGGCCTCACAGCAGGCAAATGGATGAGATGGGATTTGAACTCAGGCCTGCAGGGCACCAGAACCCTAGCCTTACACGCCATGCGCCTCCAGGAACTGGAGAATGTTGTCTGGGCTCCTGGCCAAACTGGGAGATGGAAAGGCACTGGGCCTCTCTGCTCATGGGCTCCCAGAGAATGCACAGGCCTTGGCTGCCGGGAGGGAGGTCGGAGTGGCTGCGCCAAAGAGGATGCATTGGGCCCGTGGTAGGAGTGCAGGTGGAGGTGAGGGCTACTGGGGTGGAGGCTGTTGGGGAGCAGAGTCCAGCCAGCAGTGCTGAAGCCGGGCACTGGGGCAGAAGCCTGGCCCCAGGGACACCTAGCCTGAGCTCTGACCCCATTAGCGTGGCAAACAGGGCTGCACACAGCATTACCAGGTCCAGCTCAGCAAAGCCAGGGTGGGGGCTGGGCACTGCTGGCAGGCCCCGGCTGCAACCCACACCCTCATTGTTCATTGGGGTCTGGGTCTGCCTCTTCAAAGGTAATTCCTAGAGAGGGCTTTGGCAGTTGGGGCTGCTGTAAGTGGAGCAGGCCTTGATGCAGGGCCCGGGGCTTAGTTCACGCTAAGGTCCTAGAAGGGCCCCTTCACGGACGTCACTCCCCCCAACCTCCCCATATCGCCGAACCCTAGCAGAAAGCAAATCCGTGGCCGACCTCATCACTGAGAGGCAACTACTGGCGGCCTTCGAACAGCTATGGCGCCTGGAGAAGCAACTGGTGGCCGCGAAGGCTTCACGCGCGTATGAGAAGGACCCCACGGGTTACGCGCGGCGCGCCATGGACATATGCCTGCACTACGACGGGTTGGCAGCCGAGATCGGCGCTATCGTGCGGGAGGCGCTGAGTCCCAACAGTGTTGACGCAGCTACGCTCGCCGAACTGGCCCGCGTGGTGAGCGCCGAGGAGGAGGCCCACCCCGCGCCCCCTGCAGACGGCGACTTCCTGAGCACGCCGCGCCACTGGCGCCAGCACTGGGAAGAGGCGGTTCGGCGGAGCGCGCAGGAGCGCGTGTTGCGGGCAGGTGCTGGGGAGGCCCAGGAGGACGCCAAGGGCTCAGCGAGCCTGGCCCGCCATCTGGCGGAGCTTGGCCGTCTGGTCCGCCAGGACCTGCAGAAGGTGCGGCTGGAGGTGCAGCCTGCCTACGCGACCGCAGGCTTCCCGGTGTGGGAGACCTACCTGCGCGCCTTCCATGGCGCGGTAGCCCAGCGCCTCCAGGAGCTGGCGCACGAGGCCTGCAGCTGCGAGCAGCTCTATGTCCTGCTGGACTGGGCCGCCAATGTCTACAAAAGGTGAGGCCACAGGCCAAGGCGCCATGGCAAGGCAAGGCAAGGCTGGCGCGGCCCAGCCGAACTTGGGGAGGTTTTGGGGACAGCTTTCGAGGCACTTTCTTTAGAGGTGCTTTCTTTCTCCCTTCCTCCCTGGGAGAAGGCTGCTCGAGAGCCTGAGGAAGCCTCTAACCCTCTTCCCTGTGCACCCTAGGACTAAGGGCAGATAGAAGGACGTTGCGCGCCCTCACCCCAGGTTTTTCTAAATGGCCACGGAGCCTAGTTAGTTCCCCAAGGTATAAAGTGCCCCAGGCGAGCGTCCCACTGAGCAGGGGGCCCAGTTAGAGGGACTGCGCTAGTCCAGGCGGTGCCTTTGAATGGATTAGAAGCTCCGCCCCCAGCAGGACGCATGCTCAGACTCACACAGTTTGGCGCCTCACCCTAGCTCACCCCTCTGGGTGGTATCTGGGCTGGGCACAGCCCGTTGGGAGTTTTCACCCCTGATGCTGCACTGTGGAGGAGAAGTGAGCTGGGCACTTGCCGGCCCTACAGGCAGGGGTGCCTGGGACAGGAAGGACCTCAGAAGGCCCAGGTTCCCTTTCCTTTGCTGTGTGGCCTCAGGCAGGTACCTGTCCCTCTCTGGGGCTCCCTGATGGGGGTTAGGTGGTAGCAGTTTCCCAAGCTGTGTGGTGCTGGAGTTGGGGAGGGTTATAGTCCAGACGGGTGTACCTCAACCTTGATCGAAGCATTGGCGGAGGTCCATCTGGACCAGAAAACAAACAAACCCAAACCCACAGCTATCCAGTTGATTCTTACTCATAGTGGCCCTGTGAGCCATAGTAGAACTGCCCCGTGCGGTTTCCAAGTCTGTAAATCTTTACAGAAGCAGATTGCCTCACCTTTCTCCTGCGGAGCAGCTAGTGGGTTTGAACTGCCACCCTATTGGTTAGAAGCCAAATGCTTTAACCATTGTACTACCAGAGAGCTCCTTCCATCTGGACAGCTATCTAGCTGTCTAGCTGTTGCTAGAGTCCCTAGAAACTGAGCAGTCAGAAGCTTGGAGTGGGTAAAGGAAGGGCTTAGAAGCTTCGAGGACAGACCGTGTGTGTGTGTGTGTGTGTGTGTGTGTGTGAGAGAGAGAGAGATAGCGCGAGAGATGGGGGTGTGTGAACAGAGGCCCAGATTCAGGGGCCCTGTGTGATGGCCTCAGGCTTTGACTCAGGTCCTGGCGGGGAGGGGTTAGCCGCTGCCCCTTGCTCCACGGAAGCCCTGCCCAGGCTCTCAGCCTTCAGTCGTCCTTCCAGTCCTGACTTCCTGGGCGCCCCGGACCTGGCGCTGCCCGCGGAGCCGCTGCCTCCGCTCCTGGCACCTGAAGTGTGGGCCCGGCTGGAGAACGACTACATCAGCTTCCTGGAGGTGAGGCGGGGCCCCGGCGGAGGGGCGGGGCTAATACGGAGGGGCGGGTCCGGGCCGCGCCCCAGAGCCCGTGCCCCTCGCGCTGGCACCAGAAGGTGGTGCGCTACTCCAGGTAGTCCCTCGGTGCTGGCCGTGACCACCCTGTGCTCCTGCAGGGTGGCCCTCGTCCCAAGGGCAGGGAGGGCTTGGGAGGCAGTAGGGCCTGGCCCTCCATCCCGGGAGAGTCTCACCACGACCCGGTCCCCCGCGCAGACCAAGATCGCCAGCTGCTTCGAAGGCATGCTGCAGTTGGAGCAGAGTCGCTGGGCGGCTGCTGAAGCCCCCGACGTGTTGCAGGGCCGCTACCACGCGTCGCTGTCCATCGACGTCCACATGGTGTGGCCGGGTGGATCTGAGGGGCGTGTGCTCGGGATTCAGGCGCGCGGTGGGGACCCCCGAGATGTCGAGCCCAGTCCCAAGTTCCCCTCCCAGGGGACCCTGACGCTCAGAGTGGGGCGCAGTGGGGACCCCGGTGGTGCAGGGGGAACATCTTCCAGCTCGGCAGGTGGCTCACAGGTGTGGGAGCGTTGGGAAAGTCGACAGTGAGGCAGAGCTGAATGGGCTGCGACGTCGTCAGGCCACGGGGTGGGGGGGACTAGGAACAGCAGGGGGCTCGGGCCGCGCTCAGTGAGTGGCCTCGCTCGCAGCTCGTGTCCGAGCACGTGAAGGCGGCTGGAGCCATCTCGGGTGAGCTGGAGGCCACCACCCTGCGGATCTGCGCGCGGGGCCTCGGCTGCTTCGTGCACAGGTGCGGGCGGCCAGGAGCAGGTGTGCGTGGCGGTCATCCCGGGAGCCCCACCTTGCTTGCTCAGGGTCGGAGACCTCGGTCCTGGAGGTGGAAGCGAGCGGCCCCAGCACGAGGCCGGGGCTGGGTGGAGACCTGAGGAGGGCGGAGCCTGGGCCGTTCTGCGGCCGGCAGGTACCCCATTGCCTCTGCCTACGGAGCTCTGGTAGCGTAGTGCCTAAGGCACCTGACTGCTCACCAGAAGGCTGGCGGTTCAAACCCACCAGCCACTCCTCGGAAGGAAGGCTGGGCACTCTGCTTCCGTAGAGATACTGCCTCGGAAACCCAAGGAAGGGTCGCTGTGAGTCGGGTCTGACTCGACGGCACACAACAACAACAACAACAACGGAACCCGCAGGTTTGAGAAGGCTTTTCTGAAGTCGGAGGCTGTGAGCGTGCCGCACCTGGGCGCCTATATCAACGCCTATGAGGAGCTCAGGTTGGTCTGGGCACCAGGCATCCGGACGTCCCTGCCTGTTCTCCGCAGGGACGATGCCCAGCGCCGCCAGCAGGGGGCGGGCGAGCTCCGGGAACCCGCACTCGGATTCGTGCCCTCGGTGCCCGGAGTGGGGCGGCCGCCGTGGGGCTCTGCGGGTGTGTGTGTGTGTGAGAGAGCGTGCGTGGGTGGGGGGCGCAAAGGGAGGAGAAGCCTGGATCTGGATGTTGGGCTAGTCCCTCTCCCGGAGTGAAGACGAGGCAGGCTTCCAGGAGGACGGTCTCCAGGGACCCGTGGGTCCTGCGCCGCCTCCCCTCCGTTGATGCGGTCTAGCAAGGGGTAGGGGACACATTTCAAAGCTTAGCAAAGACTGAAGAGTTCCAGTCGCCCTTTCTGCTGCCCGCCCAGTCTGGCCCTGCCACTCTGGGTTAGGTTTCCTTCCTCCCTTTATCCCAGTCGGCCTTCTCCTTCCTCTTCAGGGACGCCTCCTCCTCCTCCTCCAGGAAGCCCTCCCTGACACTCCACCCGGGCTATGCTAGGGGCTGAGCCTGGGTCTGTCTGCTTCCTCCCCTTACCTCCCCACTTCACCTGTCCTCTTCCTTTTACCCTGTCCTGGCTCCTCCCCAGGACCAGTCTTGTGGCCAGGTTCCCAGGTACCTTTGAAGAGCTGGAGAAGCCCCTGGCAGCCACCATCTCCAGCTTCCAGGAGCACCTAGTCCGGGGTTTTCAGAGGGATGTGCAGGTGAGGGGGCCAGGGGACAGTTTAAGGGGTAAGTGTGTTGGGGTGAGCAGGGGACCAGCTGAGTTACCAGCTGAGCAGGGCTGGTTAGGAAATACCTACCTTCTCACTTCAGTCTGCACCTCTGAGCAGTCAAGACCCCACCCAGGAAGGTAAGTCCAAGGAGCCAGGCCTGGCCACCTCTCAGCCTCTCCAGGACACACCCTAAGTGGAGCTGGGTGGAGTCTCCACTCAACCTGTTACTGCAAACCCTATGAGCTCCAGGCCTGGAGGAGGCCTTCCTGGAAAGGGCTTGAGAGGCTTTCCTCATGGCTTGAGAGGAAGTGGTATTGGGGACCTGCTACAGAAGGGTCTCAGGTAGTCCGCCGGTGGTCTTTCCTGGTGATAGATTGTGGCTGGGTCTGAAACACCCCTCCAGGAGCTGTGGACTGGGCTTTGAGGGGAGGATGGAGGGGAAGGTCCAGTGAGTGGGGGGGACACGGTTCAGGACTCCCTCTCCCTCTCCCCCCAGCCCCTCTTCAGGGTCGTGTGCACCAAGGCCTGGCTGGAACAGGACCTGCTTCAGCCCCTTATGGACCAGGTGGAGGCCTTTGGTCACCACCTCAAGTACGTGGCTCCATTGCGGTCGCAGGTACCTTGGTGAGAGCCAGCCTTGGTGAGGGTATGTCCAGGCCAGGATGGGAGGATGGGGTGGCCTGGCAGACCCTGACCCTCACCGCCACCCTGCCAGGAAATCCTGCACGAGGCTCACCGCTACGTGGTCCGGGAGTACCTGGTGCAGGCGCTGAGGCCGCGCGAGCGGTTCCGGGGCACCGAGCGTGTGACTGGCGCCCACAAGATGATCCTTGACGCCCAGGCCATTGGCGACACCTTCCAGGCCCTGGTAGGACCAGCGGCTACTGCCGCAGCACTATCCTCCTCTGGGAACCTCCGGCCAGCTGACGGGGCATTAGCGCGGGGTCCTAGGCTTAGATCAGGAAAGTGGGGCTAGAGAGGGGCGTGGCATCCTGGTAGGTGGGGCGTGGCCAGGTGGAGCGGCACTTCAGAGACATTTGAGTGCGGTTTGCAGGCTCTGCGCCCCATGGGCGGGGCCTGTGGGAGGCTTCTCCTCTCCCCCCTCCTACCTTCACTCTGAGCCCCCACCCCCAACTCATCTGTGCCGCTGGACCCCTACTCGCTGTGTGATTCCCGACTAGGGCCTCGGTTTCCCCATCAGCGCAAAGCGAGCAGGAATTTATGTGCGCTGGCTATGGGGAGGGGATACGGAGATAGCGTGGCAGATGAGTTCTCATTGCCGGGCCCGGGGCGCGCAGTCACAGGGCACCGGAGGGCCGGTGGTGGCCCCAGGCAGGCGGAAAGGTGCATTCATAGGGGGCTTTCAGGGGGCGGCTGGGGCTCCTGGGACGTGGGCCTCAGGCGCTTCCCTGTCCCCACAGGGCTCGGAGGCCTCGTGGCTGGGCCAGGCCATCCCATGCGTGTCTGAGATTCTGGGCGAGACGTACAAGGACGACATCCAACGGCACCTGGAGACGCTAATCATGTGCTACCACGACGTGAGGTCCGCGCCCCCTGATCCCCTCTAGGTTCACGGGGCCTCAGGGTCGGGATTTGCACCTTCAGAGGGTCCCTGTGGCTGCAGGGGGTGGGGGACGTGGAAAGCCGGAGCGAAGCGCAGGCTAGTTCCGGGGACTGGGGGCCCCTTCCTGGCGGGGCTCGAACCCGGGCAGCTGTAAGCGCAGGCTCCTGAGGACCGCAGCGCCGGGGCCGGGCCATAACTTCGGATAGGGGCTTCTCCTCCCGCGCAGCCCAGCCTGGCTGGTCCTGGTTCAGGCCCCTGGGAGCGGACTCCCCCTTCCCAGCGAGTCTGAGGGGAGGCATGTCCCCTCCTCCTGGAGGAAGCTTCAGGAAGCCCAAAGGCTGTGGGCCCAGCCCCCTGAGCCGGGCCGGGGAGGGATGAGGCTTTGATCCTGGGGTGTGTGTTGGGGCAACGGTGAGTCATCGGAACCCATGGAAATCCCGGCCTGAACCTCTCGTGGCCTGGGAGATTCCGGGATGGGGAGGTCGCCCCAGGAACCCCCGGGCCTGGCCGCACCCTGGAACCGCTTTCCTTTCCCTCCTCTCCCTGCCCCCCCCCCGCGAGTGCTGGAGGGGCCTGGCCCACTTCCCCACCTGCGGCCCCTGGGGAGCCCTCCCAGGGGCTTCCCCTCGGCGTTCCCCTGACCCCAGTCCCGGCTCCTGGGAGCGGTGTTGTGCTCAGGCAGGGAGGGCGCGACTCACGGACCCCTCAGGTCCTCCTACCACCACACTGCCTCTCCCCTTTTTACACGCAGCAGTGGGGTGCTGCCTGGCCATGTTCCCCCCTGTTGTGGTCTCCGGAGGGGGCTCGGCTTCAGACCCACGACCCCCTGACCTGGTCTCGTCCGGTTGACCTCCTCCCTCCCTCCGTCTGTCCCTCGCTGCCCTGCCCGCTTCTGGTCTTGGGCAGGCTTGGCCCCCAGGCCGGGCTCTAGGCCTGATGGGTGCACTGCGCATGTCCAGCGGGAGCTAGGTGCTCGTGGCCGCAGCCTGGAGTGGCCTTGGAGGTCCCAGGTCTGCCCTGAGAAGCTGTGTGTGTCTGCAGGCGGGAGCATGTGGTGGCCGTGCTGGCGCTGCGCCGACTGGGCCGCCGCCGGAACCAGCGCCTGCTCCGACGCGCCCAGGACCTGCTGAGCGCTGCGGCGGCCCAGGCCGGGGACTCCGCCGCCAGCGGGGGCCGCGTGCTCTTCGCGGAGATCGAAGTGCCCACCTCCATGGATGTGCTGGTCACCTGCATCCGACGCTCCGCAGGCCTGAGCCCGGCAGGGAGCAAGGAGAGTCACTCGCCCTGCCCGCGTCCCTGAAGCTCGGGGTCATGGAATTTTCCCCTCAGCCATGCGTGCCTACATCGCCAGGAGGAACAGCGGTGATGGGACATCCGAGGCATTTGCGAGGGAGGCCTGGCCAGCAGAGACTCCTTTAGGAAACGCTCACAGGGTGGGAGGGCTCCCTCCCTCACTGTCCATCCCTCCCCCAGCCCGGAAGGGAAAAGTGGTGTATTTATTTTTAAAATAAATATGAATTAAAATGGTGCCTCCCTAAGGAGGGGTTGTGCCATGCTGGCTGACGGTGGGAGGCCTGGGTCTCCATGTATATTGGGGCCAGCCCGGAGCGGGGGAGGGGGGGCCCTCAGTGATGGCTTGTGGTAGCCCGCCCTTTCCTCCCGTTAGCCCCATTATATGGGTGGGAAAACTGAGGGAGTGCAGGAGCTGCATAGCCAAACAGGCTGACCCTGGGACTCTCCGTGCACTGACCTCTCGTGCCTTTAAGTGAACCTTGGCCAGCTGGGCACAGCTCTGTCCCCTGGGGGATGACAAGAGGCTAAAGCTAGTTCGGCAACTTGGGGTTGTTGCGTTAGTTGTGGGAGGGACTTCCTAGCAGTGAAAGCTGTCTGGCTGCTGTAGGTCCAGAAATACTCGTGAAGCATCCAGGAGATGGGGCGGTGGCCCTGGGGCTCTGGAGGTGGGGCTGCTAGGAGCAAGCCGTCTGCTCTTTCCCCATTCTTTTCTCTGAGAGCTGCTGGGAAAGCCATTAACCTTGGCATCCCGTGGTTTGCCGGGGAGGCTGAGTGACCCTTCTGGGAATTCACCGGGAGACTCGGAGCAGCCTCCCCCGGCCCCGCCCTTCACGCAGGCCTGATCTCTGGGGGTGGGGGCAGTACTGCAGGTGGACCAGGGAGCCCAACAGCAGGGTGAGGGTCCTGAAAGGCTGCAGTCTTGCAGTCTCCCCCAGCTCCTTTCTTTCATTGTGGACACTTAGGGGGCAGTGCCCGGGCAGCACAGAGCCAGGTACAGTCTTCTTTGGACCCTGGCAGCAGGTGCCAGGGGCAGCCCCCCAGGTGCACCTGGGTTGGGGGGCCACGCAGGGGGTCCAGACGTCCCTGAGTGTGGGATCCAGAGAGGTGGGGGTGGGCAGCTAGGAGCCCTGGTGGGAAAAATGGTTAAGGGCTTCACTGCTAACCAAACGATTGCCAGTTGCAACCCACTAGCTACTCTGCAGGGGGAAAGATGTGACAGTCGGGCTCCTGTAAGGATTACAGATTTGGAGACCCTATGGGGCTGTTCTCCTCTGTCCTATAGGGTTGGTATGAGTCAGCATCTACTTGATGGCAACAAGTTTGGTTTTGGGAGGGGGGTGGGGCAGGAATGAGGAAATGGAGAAGTTCAGGGTTCCCAGGCTCTGGGGGTGGGGTCAGGGTGTGTGTTCGTGTGTAAACGCTGACAATGGGTCTTTGTGTCAGTGGGGAAACTGAGTCTGGCAGAGGGTGGAGGTCGCACCAGGCCTCAGCGCGGGTGGCCGGGGATTCTCCCTGCCAGAAGGAAAGAGGGTTGCCAGAGGGAGAGGCCTTAACCTGGGAGGGGCTGTTGATTGACAGGCCAGCCTCTGCCTGACCCCACCTGAGACCCAGTGACCTTACCCGCCTGGTGGGAGTTGCACAGGGGCACCGGAAGCCTGAAAACCCAACCAAATCCATAGCTGTCGAGCCAGTCCTCCCTCACAGTGACCTATGGCCTACAGTAGAACTGCCCCATAGGGTTTCCAAGGCTGTAGGTCTGTATGGAAGCAGACTGCAACATCTCCCTCCTCGAGAGTGGCTGGTGGGTTCGAACCTAGAACCTTTCAATTAGCAATGGAATGCTTAACCATTTCACCACCAGGGCTCCTTATAGGAAGCCTGGCCTGATCTAATCTGGCCCCAGCTGGGTTCTCTCCAGGGGGCCCCTCTGACTAATGCCCCTTGGAAGCCCTGCCACCCATCCTCCCTCTGCTGCTCAACAGCCTGAGAATGTAGGCAGGTTCTTTCACTTCTCTGCACCTCAGTCCTTGGAGTTGTGAAATAGAGGTTCGGGAGAGGATGAAGTAAGAAGCCGGGCTCCTGCACCTGATGACCCTTGCTCCCAGGGGTCCGGCCAGGCCATACATAGTTTGCAAGAAGAAGCTAAGGAGACCCTGGGTGCGGGAGTGGGGGAGCTCGGAGTGTCAAGTGAAACCTGAGGCGGGGTAGGGAAGATCCCCCCAGGGTGTCTGGGAAGGGGCGGAAGGCTGAGCAGCGGTACACAGACTGAGACGTCTTCCTGGCTTGCCTACAGGTTTTCAGACCCAGAGGCAGGAAGTCAGGTTTTCCTGGCAGGAACTTCATATACATGTACTGGTATTCGGCAGAGGGGTGCATGTGCACACGTGTGTGTTTATTCCTGTGAGTCCGGCAGTGCCTGGGGGCTGAGGTCAACCTCCCGAGGCAACTCTGGGTCAGGGAAGGGAGGCTGAGGACCTGAGGCTGGTTTAGGGCCAGGACTCCAGGGTCTCTGCTTCTGACCCTTTCATCCCTCACCAGATCCTATGAGACCCTGCAAAACGCCTGGAGAATTTCTTTGGCTGTCTTGTCCAGGTTATGCATGGAGGGGTGCTGGTACCTGTTGCTTGGCTCAGAAGTTTTTGGAGTTATTGGCCAGCTCGTCTACTGAAAAGGAAGCATCTCTCTCGCTTTCTTTCTGTGTATCTGTGGTAGTTAAGGTTATATGTCAGTTTGGCTGGGCCTGGTTTTAAGTGGCTGGGCAACTGGATGTAGTGATTCCCCATGATGAGATTGGTAGTCAATTCCATGGTGGAATCTGCCATGAGCAGCTGAGTAGCTGCCTTAGTGATGTAGACCGCTTCCAGGATATAAGGAGAAGCTTTGGGATTGGTCTTAAGCTTTTGCCCCATCTAGAGCCTGCATTTGGCCTACTCTTCATCTCAACGGTCTGTCATGTTGTCTGAGCATCTTGAGGCTGTTTCTGGACTTGAACTACTGGCCGGCTGGGTTGCTTGATCATTTTGGGACTGTGCCATTTTACTTGTTGACCTTGAGTTTGTCAGCCTCAGCAGCTGTCTCAGTGAAGAGACATCTCCAGCTCCAGTGGGCCGGGAGCAAGAGGCAGAGCTGAAGCCCAAAATCGAGGGGCCTTCATCCAGTGTCTAGAGCTGGCACTTTGAACTCAGAAGTCTAGCCTCCAAAACTGTAAGAGAATCAATCCCTGTTTTTATAGCCACATTGTGAAATATGTCTGTTGCGGCAGCACTCAATAAAACACTGTCCAAGGGGTGTGCTGGCCTGTCAGTCCCCCTGAGACAGAGGGACTTTGCCTGGTCCCCAGGCTCCTCTGTGAGGCAGGACAGTCTGACACTATCCCATTTGTCCCCTTAAGCTTGAACCATAGCACCTACCTATGCCCCAAGCTACATCCCCCTCAAGGCCCAGCTTTCTTTCCCCCCAGGGCTACTTGTCCCCTGGGCTCCTTCATGTGCTGGGATTGACTGTGGTCTCTGTCCCTGTGCTGGAGGTTTTTGAGAAGGGACCTGCTCTAAGAAATGTCTGGGGCCCCAGCCAAGGCCGGGCTGGGTGGGCAGGAAGAAGGCACAGAGGCTGAGCCTGGCCAAGGCAGGAGCTCCTATTTGAGGGGCTGAACCCCAGCCTGCCTGGCCCAGGGACAGCCTGGGGACATGCATGGAAAGGAGCCTGGAGTCTATCCAACTCAGGCTGGGGCCTAGTGCCCTCTGAGACCTGCTCCTTCTCCTGATCCCTGGTCTTGGGGTCCAGCCCCTCTGGGTGTGTCCTGCTGGAAAAGCCCATGGGGCGGAGTCAGCAGAACGGGTTTGAGGGTTTGAATATCAATTCTATGGAGCCCCAGCTGCTGTCCAAGTCTCTGTCCTCTCAGTCTGTGACAGGGGAGAGAGTGCCTATAGTCAGAGGAACATGGGGACAAATGAAACCATAGAGATGCTGGCACCTGGAGCATGCTGTGAGTGGTAGTCAGCCCTGTCACCACCATGCCTGAACAGCCCCTCCCTCTTCCTTCCTTGCCTGGTGACCCTGGCCTCTTCCTTCCTGCCCAGGACTCAGTGGGCTCTCTGAACATCAGGGCAGAACCCTCGACAGGCCGGGGGCGGGGGAAGTACCTGCAGGACCCCTCACACTGCCGAGAGGGGAAGCCATGGGGTGACCATGAGGTTCCCAAGTCTGCCCTCCCTTCCAATCTCACTTCCTCCCTTTGTTTCCTCAAAGAGGCCTCTTTGGAAACTCCAGCCAGCATGGCTAGGCGCAGCAGCGTGGTGGGTGGCTCCCACCCCAGCCACTAGCAGCTGCAGACACTGCCTTTCCCCAGCCAGTTGGTGGAGGGCACCGAGCTGGGCGCTACCAAGGAAGTCCGGCTCCGCTGAGCCCAGGTCTGGGCACCGAGTCCTGCTGGATGGCAGTCCAGGCACCACCCTTTAGGGGGACTGTGGGTGGAGGGAAATCCGTGCTCTGGGAGCCGGGAGGTCTCTCCGGTGAGCACTGCCATGGTCTCAGCCCAGCCTCCCTGGGTGCCCTGCTCTGTGAAGACCCCTGGAGGGAACTGAACTCACTCCTGTCATGGGACTTGAGGGTTCCGGGTCAGTCATTGCAGGGGTGCTTGTGCCTTCCAGACAGCCAGAACTTTTTTTTTTGGTGATAATCCTTCCATTTTTTGTTAGTTGTTTTTAAGAACGTCAGAACTTTTATCTATCTGTCCGTCCATCAATTTATGCCCTTTAAAATTTATTAAAATGCTTTTAATTGTTATAAAATTTTCTTTTGGAAGGTGGTACGTTCATATAGTTCCAAATTAAAAAGGTACAAACAAAATGGAAAGTGTCCTTCTTACCCCTGTTCACCCACTTCTGTTCCCCAGAGGCGGCCAGGGTTATGGGCTCCTTCTCGCACAACACGTGCATTTGCAGAGTAGCCATTTCCCGAAGGAGCTCTGGTGGCATAGTGGGTAAGACCTTTGGCTGCTGACCAGAA